GCGCGCGGCGGGACCTCCGTGCGGGGGCGCGGGGGAGGGGCGCGACGCCGCCTCGGCCTCGTGCGGCTTCTGCCTCGTGCCCTTTCCCACGCTCGGAGCTGCGACGTGATGTGTTAAAGCTGCTTTTTTTTTTTTTGCTCGTTGCCTATTGTACCTTAGAACGTGTGGGCAAGGTGACCGTGGCCGTGACCCCGACGTCCGCGTGTAGCGGGGACCGCGTGAGCAGGGCTGTCCGTTAGAAAATGACCGTATCTTGCCATTCACAGCGGGTTCTGTGAAGCTGTTTTTACTGGGACCCTATAAAGGAGACGCCCTGGGCAGCGTGCGGTGACACGTCCTGCGGGCGGTCACGCTGTGACGGTGCCCTTCCTGCCTCGTTGAAGAGACGGAGCTGTGTGACCGCGAAGACTCTCTGCGTGTGTCTGGGGGGATCGGACTCCTTGCGGGGTAAACGTGAACCTTGGTCACGTGCTAAACTTGTGCGCATCGAAAGGGATAAGCTCAGCTGTGCCAAAGCCTCACGCCGGCCCCGGGCTCGGCCACCTCGGGGTTCAGCACCCTGTGGGGGCCCCTGGCCACCACTCTGCCATGCGATTCCCTGGTCCCGGCGTTCTGTCACGTTTCGTTTTGGGTGTGCTTGGAAGTGTCAGTCTGAACTCGGTTTTAAAAATACGTGTTTCTCATCTTTGTAAAACAGCAAGGTTTGTTCAAAGTGACATTGGAATACAAAAAAATTAAGCCATACGTATTTTCTTAGAAGTGTAGATGTATATATAACTACATAGATAAACCTACAAAATATTCCTTATTTCAAATTAGTATGATTCCTATTTAAAGTGATTTATATTTGAGTAAAAAGTTCAATTTTTTTTGCTTTTTAAAAATCCGATGCATTTTTCATTATATTATTCTATATATTTTTTCTTGAAGTTTTTAGCATAACGTATTCATTATTCAGTGTATATCTAGGCAGCAACACTTACAAGTTTATCAATGTCTAAACTAAAAAAAAAAAAAAAAAAGTCCCCGTGTACTGGTTTACATTTTGTATGAACGGCAGATTCCGAAGCCTGCTGTGCCTGTAACATGACTCAGCATTTCTGCTTTTCTACGTAATGCCCCCTTGTTATTTACGGCACTCACACACTTCCATGTGGTAGGTTCTTTCTCAGGAACTCGATTTAACTATTATTTATTGATATATCATTGCCTTTGAAAAGCTTCTACTGGCACAATTTATTATTAAAATTTTGAATCCAAACCCCTTGGTGTCGTGTTTCACTGGAACTTGTAAGTTCTTGCGTTTGTCACTGTGTCGTACGAGACGGTTAAAAGTGTTTTTCTGTGTTCCCTTAGAGAATGGAACTTTATGCATACAGAGCACAGGAAACCACGTGTACCGTCCTGCCCCTTTCATAGAAGTGGGGGACTACGCATACTTTTCTGCCTGTTTCCTCTGCCTGGCAGTCTGTACCAGCGCGTGCTCGCCACCTGGGAGGGTCTGTCGTAACCAGGTCAGTGCGATGTGCATGGACATTTCACGTGTTTCCTGGCTCTTTGCACATGAAGTGAATGCCAGGACCATTTCCTAGGCGGGACCCACTGGGTCAGAGGTCAGGTGCCAGGCGAGTTTCATCGCCAAGGAGCCTGGCGATCTTGGGAGGGAGCCGGCGAGATACTCCCGCCCACCCCAGGGGGCTGGGTGTGCGGCGCTGCTCTGTGGTCCAGTTCTCAGCACCGAGCTCGCAGTGAGCACCTTGAGGGATGAGGTCCTGTCCCCGTCCAGGACAGAAAAGCAGGTCTGCGCACCGCAAGTCTCAGTACCCCCGTCTGGGCCTCCCGTGCTCCCCAGGGCTCGGGGTGGGAGGAGCACGTGCATGCGTGCCGTGCAGCAAATGACAGACAGTCCTTTGTCCCTGACCCAGGCGTCTCTGGTCTCGGTCCAGGGTCCACGAGGGAGCAACAGGCTCACCGCAGGTATTGACTTGCAGGCAGGGCACAGTCAGGCCTGCCCCTGACCCGCAGCCCCGGCAGAGACACAGAGCGTCAGCCCCGTTGACCTTTGCCCATCGATGAGGTCAGAAAAACGCGGTGCGCTTTTACCTGGCGTCCCTCTGCCTTCTGGAGAAGCCGAGCCCCTTCGCGCGTGCTCCACATCCACTTGAATATCCTTAAAGTGATGATCCTAGTTTTCTGCATAACCAGAGCGTTTGGTGCCACAGACACCCAAACGAGTCGTTCCCTTCCCCCTCTCGGCTTCTCTTCCTGCTCAGCTGAAGGAGTCGCATCACTGGGCAGCGGCCAGACACCACGCCATGACACGAGAACAGCCGCCCTCAGGTGCTGGCAGGCTCCGGGGGAGGCGGACGCCTGGCATTCGCGAATGCTCTGCTCAAGGCGTTGGGGGCACAGCCGGCCTGGCCGCCCCACATCTGCGGTCATCACTGGGTGCGGTCGGAGTTTGTGGAGGGGGCAAATAGCTTGTGACAAATTAGGGGTGTTTTCACTTCCCCATTTTTCCTGAAAGATGTTTTTGGCACATCTATTTCAGGTGGAGGGCTCTGGGTTGGCAGTTCTTTCTGCGAGCCAGCGACACTGGGCTCCTCCTTCTCGTCCCCTTGATCTCTGATGAGAGTCTGCTGTCACTGTAATTATTTCCCCCTATAGGTAAGGTGATGTTCCTCTCTGGCTGCTTTCAACCTGCCTGTCTGATTGCTTTCTAGAAGGTGAATCAGGATATGTCCTGGCTCAGATTTCTTTGGGTTTACCCTATGTGTGATCCACTCAGCTTCTTGAACCTGTAGGTTCATTTTTTTTTCGCCAGATCCCTCTTGCTGCAGGAGCCTCAACTCTCCTGTATTCCTTTCCATGCCCCCAACTCCTACCCCAGTGAAGTCAAAGGGACCCACATTCTCCCATCCCTAAAAAGGAAGTGGCATCAAGTGGTACCTGCGTGCCTTTGTTTTTAAATTCCCGAAGTAGGATCACGTGGAGTCCCAGGCAGGGGCGCAGGAGCCCTGGTTCTGTGCCCAGCTTCGTATAACTTTGGGTCTGGATTTATTAGTTATCTGCCAGATTTATTATCTGGCTTTGACAGAGTCTGATTCAGTGGCTTTTAAAATATTCTCCAGAGTTCATCGCTTCTAAGCTGCGTCTCAGAGGCTGCTGGGGTCAACAGTGTGCGGCCTCTGCTTGCACCGGGCTAGCTGTGCTCTGTTCTGCACGCGATGTTGAAAAAAGTGTTCTGCTAACAACAACAACAACAATAAAAAATGACAACAGAAAAGCTTTAGGACCGCCGGGTTTGTATTTTATTTATTTTAAATTTATTTTTTAATTACGGTCGGCCTGCAACATTGTGTCGGTTTCAGGCACACAACGTAGCAATTAGACAGTGACATGCCTTACGACGGGACACCCCAGGTAAGGGCGGACCGCTGGTTTAAATCATCAGTAACGTCCTTGTTTACAGTTAGTTGTTAATTTCATAAACGTTATGAATACACCTCATCTTTAAAGGGTCATATTCCTCAAAAAGGGAGCCCCTGTCCTTCTCTGCCACTTTCTAAACCTTGTGCTTTCCCGGGCGTGTCTCTGGCACGTCAGTCATCACTAACAGCTCTTAACGATAGTTCTTGACTGACTTATTATAAATCTTTCCTGTCCACTGCGTCTTACGCAGCCTCTGCCGCCCGGTGTCTGAGTGAAGTCACTGCTGATGTAAATGTTGCTGACACTGTGCTAGGTGGTCTTTAAGGCAGACAGTCTGCTGTGGTTGTTTCTTTTGCTGTACAATTTTTTCTTCCTCTCGGACTCAGTGAAACGTTGTTTTCTCGCTTGCTTTGTTTTCTTGGAACCTGCAGGTCCCTCCCTCCCCGTTTCCTTCCTGTCCAGCTGGATCTGTCAAATGCCAGCAGACCCTTCCAGCAGCTCAGAGGCTGCAGCCACCTCCTCCCGCCGTCCGTCGTCACTTTTGTCACTTTCCTGTATGGATCCCATTTCTGCCAAATGTCTGAAAACATCCCTTTCCTACTCGATTGAGAATACGGGTAGGCATAAAATTCTAGGCTTACATGGCACGCGGTGGGCACTTGCTCCCCTGCTCTGGTGTCACTGTGCGATGCCCGATGCCGTCCGACCCTCGGTGCTGTGTGGCTGGCCCGCCTTCCTCTCTCGACACGGCTGGGCGATCCGTTGCGTCATGCCTTTGAACTCTGTCCCCTCTGGGCTCCACCTCCTGTGGGTCGGGTGTCCTCAGCCGGTCCTCTGAGGCTCTTAACGTTCATCCCTGTGATCCACATCTTTTTTTATTTTTTTCTGGAAGACGTCATTGACTTTATCTTTCAGATCTTGTGACACGTTTTTGGGGACAGCATCATCTTTTTAATCCCCGAGAGCTTATTCTTGTTCTCTAATCAGTCTGTTCTTGTTTTATGTCTTCAATCTCTGTGTTTATCATTTCCCTTATAATTTCATGGTGTTTTTTCTTTTTCTGCTTCCCCAAATGTCCCTATGTCTTCTGCGTTCCTTTTCGTTGTCATTTGGCTGCTTGTTTCTTTGCTCTGTTCTTTCTCTTTCCTGTGCGAGGTGTTCCTTAAAGACTCTGATCGCCTTTTATTTTAAAGACAGCTTTATCGAGATATAATTCCCATAAATCCACAAGATCCCCCCATTTAGAGCGTGCGAGTCAACACGGTATAATCAGAGTCACACAAACATTTCCATAATCGATTTTGGGACATTTTGATCACCCCGAGAGAAACGCTGTTCCCTTTGGCAGTCACCCTCATTTCTCATCCCCACCCCTCGGCCGGCCTCCCTCCTCGGGCAGCCATAGCTCACTCCGTCTCTCGGGTCCTTTCACAGAAATGGGACCACGCACCGTGTGGCCTTGGGCGGCTGGCTACTTTTGGTCCGCGTAATGTTTTAAGGGTTCATCCGTGCTATCGCGTATATCAGTTCGTCATTACTTTTTATGGTCAAAAAGAATTGCATCATGTAGACTTATCCAATTCACTCAACAACAGAGGCCTACGGAGACCGCGTTTTGCTCCTCTGGGAAGTGTCGGCAGCTGGTGTCTCAGAGACGGGTGCGTTTCGCGTAGGCCATCGATTCTGGACGCAGAGCGATTCCCGGGGTCCCCTGAGTTTCCTTTCGATGCCCATGTGGTTGGAAGTTCCCCTCTTTTGTTTCTGATGCCATCGATTGTGTTCTTCCTCTTTTTCCCCCTCATTAGTCTGGCCAGAAGTATACCGATTTTATTGGCTTTTTCAGAGAACCAGCTCTTGCCCTTGTTGTTTTTCTGATTTCCTGTTTTTGAAGTCGTCGACTTCCGATCAGCCCTTTGTCACTTACTTCCTTCTGCCGTCTTGGACTTAGCCGCTCTCTTTTCCAGTTTCCCGAGGTGGAAGGTTGGATGATTGGTTTCCCATTTTCCCTCTGTTCTAATACATGCAGTCAGTGCCGTAAACTCTCCACTCTGATTGTGCCACAGCCTGCAAATTCCAATGGCTTGTATTTTTATTTTCACTTTGTTCAATGTATATTTAACTTTCCCTCGAGATTTCTCTTTAGACCTGTGGCTTGATCGCCCCGTGTTTTGGCATTTTCCAGCTGCCTTTCTGTTATCAGTTTCTAGTTTAACTCCATTCTGGCCTGAGAGCTATGATTTGTACTGTTTTTAAATGTATAAAGATATGTTAATGGTCCACGCTAAAATGAAGAAGATGGGTTGGAAGTCTGCTTTACCCAGATCACCTCCCAGTTCTGGCTGCTCTTCCCCCCGCTGGAACAGGGCGAGAAGGGCACCCACTGGGGTTGGCAGCTCGGGGCTGCTGGGCGCGTGTGGCCTGGCTCGGACAGAGCTGTGGAGCTGTCGCAGCAGGATGGTGAGCATGTACAGGCCGCATCCTCGGTCCTCCCCTGCTCAGCTCTCAAGACACAGGCAGCAAGGCTGTCATGCCCCGGGCGGGAGACTGGCCGCCTTCCCAGGGACATCGATCGGCCCAGGAGGCGAGATCTGAAGACACTGACAACTAGCGGGGCTGGGAGCGGGGCTGGGAGCTGGGCCACCCGACACCGAAGCTTCCACCAGCTCTCAGGTGAGGCCGCTCCTGCTGCTCCACGCGCTTGGGGACACGCCGAGGCTCCCAGCCTCAGAGGCTTCACTTTCCTGGGACACCAGTGCCACTTCTCACTCCTGCGACAGCGCTGGTGTCATGACCTCGTCGCGCGGTCAGCTTCGGCCTGTACATTGTCCCTCCCGTGTTTGAGTAGCTGGGGGACATCGCGGGCCACATGGCTCTCCTGCCATCCGGAGCCGCCGCTGGAGGACGCCTAGCACTCCTGCGTGTCCAGGACCCCCCAGACCCTGGCCCCCCCGAGAAACGTGAGGACTCCATGCCCGTGCTCTCTCGCTCGCTGCTGGCACGTGGGCCCCTCAGGGTCTCTGCGGGTCAGGGACCATGTGCCAGCCGAGCGGGAGGGGCACCGGGAGGAGGCGGGGACGG